ATCTTATAATACTATGGTATGTTTGTCACAACTAATGAACTGACATTAAGTCCATGCTTTGGGTTCTTCTCATCATTGTCACCTTTAGTGCCCTGTATTCTGTAATAGGTTTTCCGACTTTCCTTGCTCTTTATGACCTTGATGGTTTTGAGGAGCACTGGGTTTTTCCCATGTTTTTCTCATGGTTAGACTGAGGTTATGGGTTTTGGGAGGAAGATCACAGAGGTGAAGTGCCCTTTCCACTGCATCGTATCAAGGATGCATGCTATCAACATGACTTATCATTGGTGATGTTAACCTTGATCACTCGGTCAAAGTAGGGTCTATATCTTGTTTCTTTACTGCAAAGTTACTTGCCTCCTCCAGCTCCATCCCATAATCATTGGAAGCTAGTCACTAAATGGAGTTCACTCAAGAGGTGGGAGTTAACTTTCATTTTTTTGAGGGGAATGTAAATGCATGAATTATTTAGAATAATTCAGTGAGGAAGAGTTGTTCCTTTTCTCATTTATTTACCTATTTATATCAATATGGACTTAAGGATATTTAAGTCCACATATTAATATGGACTTAAGAATGGTTTAAATTCTCCTTCCCTAAGGACTCATTCAAAATGCCTCCTCATTCATGACACCTTTCCTAAACTACTTGGTATCCCACACATACTACCAGACTGTGAGTTACCTGAAGGCACTGTGTTATGCAGTATGTTACACTGCAACGTATTTCCTTTCGTATCCCTTAACTCAGCAGGTAGCATCTAGCAAATGAAATGGCTCTTGCTTAATGAATAGTAATCGACAAGAGTAAGGTCAATGTAAGATGTTCTCTTTAGGGTCTACCAGGGACAAACACATACCCTAAAGCTAAACAAAAAACCCTCCTGCAGAATCTTTATGCCCAAGGGACCCTGCTCAGTCTCATGCTTGAAGAAGATATCCTGTTTCGGGCATATGCCGTTGTGAACACTAGAAAAAAGAACCTTATGACTTTTAGCCCTCAACACAGGCAAGTACATGCACATATTTAAAGATAAGAATCCATTAACTAAAACATACCCTAAGGAAGCTCACAGAGCTATCCCAAGTCAGGAAAGCTTATGTTCACCTGAAATGATTATCTGGTGCAGGCATTTTTCTAGAATCCTTTATCTCCTGTCTCTCTTGGTAGTATCTCTGGCCTAGGTGTTGGGGATGCAAGTGCAGCAAGCTTGTATCCTGAGGTGTGGAAAGGTCTGGAGCTGTTGCTGTGAGGAGATGGGGGTGGCGGCATAAGTACCTGATTTTTCCCTGGCAGCAACACCAAGGGACTCAGCAGGAGCAGCCCCTACAGCAGAACTTGTACCTTCTCGTATTCCTGGGTGATGTGGATGCCCCTTCCTGGAGCTCCCTGGTTCACCTGCATTCACCCACAATTGGCGCCCAGCACACCATGGGTTCCAATTCTGGCCCTGAAGCTCTTCTTCTCTGCACAAGAGCTTCTCCATCAGAAGTACAACCTAGAAGCTCTTAATTCTTATGTAGGCAATCCTCAACCACAGGGGGATGGGAGGGCCCTCCCTGTCCTGGGGAGGATGACTTAAGGTGTTTCTCAGAGGGAACCCTGCAGGACTGAACCCTGGTTGCAAACTCAACATCACTGGCCTTTCTCTTGCTCTCTTACATTCCCCACATAACTATTTACTTTCTAAGATCACCTCTCATATGAACTTCCTCCACCCAAGTCCTTGTCCCGGCATCTGCTTTTGGGAAAACCTGAACTCAGAACTGCAGCCAGGGCAAGAGAGAAGACCCTGGGAACAGAGGCAGCTGGGTTAGGCAGCTCAGAAAGAAGGACTGGGGGAAGGTATGTCAGAAGAACCTTCCAGATATGCCTGGGGTCCCTGAGAAAGGCAAGTTGAGCAGCCCCAGTGCTGCCGAACAAGCAGTATCTGGCTGCACAAAGGAGACCCAGGTATGACACTGCCTTCACAGGGTTTGTGATCAGAGAACACCCAGCCATGCTGCTCAGCAGAGTCTATCTGTCATCTTGGGGATGCTCACCCATTCAGGCTTTCACCATGACCCTAAAACACACAGAGCCTTTTGCTGAGAGATTCTTGCCTCCACATCTTGTTCACTTCCAGGTTCTGAGTCCTTGCCTCATGAGGTCATCAACCTCGTTTCCTGGATTCCAGATGCATTTCCTGCTCCTGAGGTGTGACCTGGCACATCCGGACTCCTTGAGGTCCCTGTGGCATTTCCATCTTCTTCTAAGTACCAGTGTTTCATAGTTAGTTTACTAATCCCAACCTCAGCCCGCTCCTGCTCTCTGGGCCCAGCCCAACTGGATTTCTAGAAATGATCGTGTCTCATTCCTGGTAGTACCACCAGGTCATCGTACTGTGCCTACGTTTACGTGTGCTACGGATAGCAGGTTACACTCTCTAATGTGCCCATATATTGATTGCAAAATACCATTTTCTAATAAAAAAAAAAAAAAAATCCAAGCTCCGTGGAGAAATGACTGATTCCAGGGTCAGAGTAAGTAAACCATAAGAGGAGTCTGGAACATCTTATGATGCCAGAAAGTAAGTGCTAAGAACAAAAAAATATGGAGCAGCAGGTCAAAAGTGTCCAGAAGCCAACCTGAAAGAGCTCCCAATGGTCAAATGGTGAAAGCTGGAGGTATACGAGCAAAAAAACCCAAAAAACAAAAAAAAACCCCGATAGATTATAACCTAGAGTGTGAAGTAAGTATCCTTGTGTCCATACTGATATAAATACTGAATAAATAAGTAAATGGACCAACTTTTCCTTACAGAAGGATTCCAATTAATAAATGTAGAAGGAATGAAATAGAAAATCTCCACTCGACCACTGCAGTAATAATTGAGGCAGCTATGATCCACTGAATAAAATCAGTGGGAAACATGTAAGGAGAAACAAGATATTTGCATAATCTTAAATTATCTTGCCCCCTAAACAAATGAATCGTAAAGAGAAAAATAGCAACTTCACAGTGAAGGGATCTGACAGACACTGCCTTCCCCAAGTGATCCAGGTGAACTCACCAGTAATAAGACAGGTTAACATTGTGGACCCTGGGTACAACACACCCAGACAAGCCTGTCACTTCTGGGGTATTCTTCCCCCAAATTTATGACCTTAATCTAATAATCAGAAAACATCAGACAAACCCAAGTTAGGGGCTATTCTACACAATAACTAATCAGTCCTCTTTCACAAGTGTCAAGGTCATGAAAGAAAAGGCGGTCACAGTTTGGAAGGGACGTGATACAATCGAGTACAGTGTGCAATCCCAGATCAGATTCTAGAACTGATAAAGACATTCATTTAAAAATCTGGTAAAATCCAAATAAATTCTGGGACTGAGGTTGATTTCTTACAGGTTTGGTACCTGTACCATGGTCAGGTAAGACGTTAGCATTAGAGGGAGCTGGGCCCGAGGGGGTCAGGAACTCTGGACTCTCTGTGCGACAATATTGTAAGTCTAAAATTAGTTCAAAAGAAAAGTAAAAAAACAAAAAACCCACTGACAAATGGCCTATTAAGTGTCAAGACAAATAGTAGCGAGGCAGGAAACGGGGTATCACAGAGAAAAGGGTGTTTGGAGCCGGAGAAGCTAAGGTGGAAGCAGAGGGGCTGGAAAATCAGAGTAAGCGCCACCAACCCAGCACGTGGGGAGCCAGCACTTTCTAAGCGCTTTGCACATACCCCCTGGCTGAGAAATGGGGTGGTTCGACACATTACATAGGGGAGTACAGTTGTCACAATTTGTGACAGGACAAGGAGCAAAAGGGCATGACTCCTAGGTTTCTAATCTGAGCATTTGGCTCTATTCTGGCAAGCAGAATAGCTTTGGTGGGGAGGAGGAAGATCAGATCAGTTTGAGGCAGCGTGGTTCCTAGGTGACACCCAGGTGGGCATGCGTGGAAGGCAGTTAGCACATCACCTCACAGCTTCAGGGAGTGATTATCAGGGAGGTAATGGTTGAAACGCAGGAGGAGATGCAATCACCCAGGAAGAGGATAGGAGAGAAAAAGGGAAGGGAGGGGCCACAGATGGAAGACTGAGAAGTCCCCGCCGTTACAGAGAGAAGTCAAGGGTATGAAGAAGACGGGGAAGAGAGGGTGTGTCGGAAGCGGCATGAGATCCCAGAGACCACTGGGCTGGGGAAGGGGGACGAGACATTTGGTAGTTAGCGTCAGATGCCACAGCACAGGAGATGTCAGAATCGATACTGGAGACCTCAGAAGAGAAAGCAGATGGAATGATGATACCCAGGCTGTACCTCAGAAGGTAGTGATTAGTGGTGAGGAAGCAGACACAGTGCCAAATATTCTTTTGAGGAACGTTGCTGGGAAAGAGGAAGATAGAGGGGAAGTCAAGGTTGGAGCCTATCCTAGTCAGCCTCCCGACAGACACCTCCCAGGCACTCACGATGCATATTTTTACCTGCAAACTGGTTCCCTCCACCTGGGCACCCTGCCTGTACCTTTTCATGTGTGTCCCCATCTACCTACAAACGGTCTAAACTTAGGTGGAAAGAAGGAACATCACCTTTTCAACGCGAAGGTTGAGATCTGAAATAAACCTAACGTTGACCGTGCTCCGTCCCGACTCGGGGCTGCACGGGTGTGATGTGGGGCAGTTCTCTCCCCATGCGCAGAGGCAAGATGACCTCGTGACCTTGTTCCATCACTCCATGGCTAAATTCCACCCTTGCCTTGAAAGCCCAGCATATAGAGCGTCTCGAGACACTTTCAGATCCTGACCAGAAATCCACTGGAGGAGTTAAAAGCTATAGTCGCTAAAAGAGATGACCAGCGAGGCTCATGGCTTTTCCATGGGAACATGTGCCAAAGCCTTCTCCTCTCTGCGTTCGGTTGCATTTACAAGTCTTTAAATATTAATACTCACTAATATTGACGTCTGAGTACCAAATCAGTGTAGCTTCCCAGAAATGACTAGATTTTATATCATTCATTCACTCAATAGACATTGATGAAGTGCCAGGCAACATGCAGGAGGCAAACTGCTAGAACTGGAGGAGACTGGATCGATGAGGAAGATACGGTGTTCCTGCTCTTGGGAAGCCCACAGACATTTCCATAAACAGCTACAAACAACTTGGAACGTCGTATAATAAAGGCATGTGTGTTATGTACATTTATGTATGTATGTGTGTGTGTATCCGGGGGAACACAGAAGGGCGCGTGACAATCACGTCTAGATGTGATCCTGTTGTCAGAGGTGCGAGAGGCAGGCGCGTTCTATGGACCTTAGAGACTGAAAGATGAACAGTGAGGCTGAAAAGACAGAGGGGGGTCGCATGAGGGTCTGTGTGAATGCAGTGCTGCTGGGCCTGACTGGCCCAGCCCCCCCCACCGCCCCAACCCTGGCAGGGGAGAGCAAGACTAGGCTTGCGTTTTGAGAAGGCCTCCTCTGCTGGCGGCCCAGGAATGGGCTGGAGGCAGAGAGAGGCGGAATGCAGGTGAGGTCGGAGGCTGTCTCGACAGCTCAGACCAGTGAAAACCGCAGGGAGAGTGGCTGCAGGAGACCATGTGAGCAAGAAGAAAGGAGCCCTGGAGGCCCCACACATACGCGGGGCGTGGCGGGGAAGAGGGGAAGGCGGTTAACTCAGAGGGCAAGAAACCTCTTTGGAAAAGTGGATGAGCTCAGCGTGAGGCACACACAGGGGGAGGGGCTGAGTGGGCAGCTAGGAATGGAAGTCTAGAACTTGGGGCAGAGGTTTGGACTAGAGACAATGGGGAGCAGCTGAGGCAAAGTCCAAATTCTTTCAGGTTGAATTTGTCATTTCAATACTAGATCACCCCTGAATTCTCCTTTTCCTCCCCGGGGGCCTATTTTCACAGGAACACACCTTCCCAAGAGACAGCACATCTAGGCACGCAGAGGCTGAACGTCACAGAGGCACAGGCTCCCACATTCTTGCACCTGACTTAGAGGTACACAGAGGAACACACACACAGGTCCACAGCTCACAGAGGTATGCATACATGCACGTGCACACGCACACATACACCCACCCAGAGGTGACAGAGGTATACATACATACGCTTACCCCCCACACACGTGTAAATACACCTACAGAGGTCACAAGTGCACGGTTTTCTAGAGAGGGTAAGGCAGGTTTTCTAGTACACAGTGGAATCTTTTCATCTACCCAGCTGCTGCCCTTCAACTGCTAGGGGGAGCAGCCCCATCTGGCCAATGAACTCCCTCGGCAATTCATTTACGTGAAACAGATTCCAGGAGGCCATCTAAAGGCCCCACCAGTCTGTGGGCCCACACACCACACTTTGATAGTGTGAACGGCACGTGAACGGCTGTAAGCTGAGAACCACTCCCAACTAGGAGCCTGAGAGCCATCCACCTGCCGAGCAAAGACCTCCCCCACAACATTCAACCCCCTTCTCACCAAAGAGCTTCTGTAGGACTTGCCCGTCATATAAATCTTCAGCCAGGTCTTTCACAATGATTCTTTCTCCAACAAGCACGTCATTAATCCAGTCGATTAGTACCTACAGAGAGAGAGAGAGAATAAGAGAAGATTCGTAGGCCAGATTTCTTGGAAGATTAAAATCTAAATGCACTTCAGATTTTGAAAGCAGCAGAACAATCCCTGTGACTCAGTATGTGGACACAAGGCTGGGTGAGCCCTAGTGGCCCTGTTAATTTTCCGGGGTAAGTGCTTCTAGTTCTGGTGGCACCTGTGTCCCTGTTAATATCTTCTGGCCCCTTACCATTCCTTACCCCAATGGCAAGCTACATTCACACAGTGTTTGGGTGTGTGGCTCGTACCAGGCAAGGATATGGGCTTTTAGAGTTATACAAACTGGGGTTAGTTACCCACCAACTGATTTGTGTAGCTCTGTGATGTATGCACGTGTGTCTGTGCACCTCTGTCATCCACGGACCTCTCTGTGTGTGCCTCCGTGACCTATGAATCTAGGGCAGACTAGTTTCTGCTCTGAGCCTCTGATTCCCCACCTCTAAGATGAAGGAGGAAAATCTCTCCTGCTTTAGGTAGCAGAAAAGAATCACATACGTCAAGGACCGAATGTTCAATAAAGGTACGTCTAACTAATAAATAAAGTTCTCCCCCATTAGGACAGCTGGTCAGGTGGTTACTATCATCCCCATCTATCACCCCTCCTCCTATGTTCAGGAAGAGAAAGCAAACACAGAAGTGAATGTATCTGCCAGGGTCACGTTGCTAACCATGGACACAGACAGGAATTGAACTCCTATCCATTGGCCCTCTAAGGTACTGCTCTCCTCCTTATCTCCAAGCTACCTCGCGGTGGGCCAGTGCAGTCTCCTCTCCTCTCCTGTCGCTCTCCTGCCCTTGCCTGAGTGCCCTCAGCATGAAGCACTGAGCAGGGGCACAGCCGAGGTAGCTCATTTAGTTAATCTGCACAACACCCCTTCGAGGGAGGGTTCATTCACTTCATTTTTCAGATAAGGAAACTGCAGTTTGCAAAAGTCCACTGCCTTTTATCTTACATTTTTTTTTTCAGCTCATTTGTTTATGATGATATTATTTATGTACGGTAAAATTAACTAATGTTAAATACAGGTTGTTGAGTTTTGGTCATTGTACACAGTTGTGTAACCACCACCACAATCAAGATAAAAAGCAACTCCCTCGGTGAAAGAAGGTTCCTTTGGGCTTTGTGCTCAGTCCCCTCCCCTGAGGACAGGCCTCAGGCAACCACCACAATCTGGAAATACATGGAACCACAGGGAACATCACCTTTTGTGTTTGCATCAATAGATTGCCTTTATAACAGGGGTAGTAGCTGGGCTGGGTTTGCATACGTGGGTGGAGCCCGGGGTCTTCACAGAACATCATTCTACTCTTCTAGAATAGAAGCTTCCCTCCTCTCCCCTCCACTCCCTCCATCCAACACCCTCCCGTCTCTCCCCCATCCACCCACCCAGCGTTTATGAACATCTGCTCCAAGTCACTTTCTGTGCTGGATCCTGGGGGAACAATGATGAATAAAAGGGGGGGGGTCTTGAACCCTGAGAAGCTCACCATTTAGTGAAGACAGAGAAGTGTCTGAGTAGCGGTAAGCAGTCATCACATGGTGACTCTAAGGGGACAATCTGAAGCTGAAGAGGCAGCTAGAGCATGAGACCCCAAACACCATCCCCAGGAGCATGGGCTTCAGACTTCAGTTGACAGGAATCTATACAGAGGTTCTGAGCAGGAATATGATAGATCTCATTTACATTTTGAATGAGCCACTTTGGCATCCAGTGCCTTTTTGTCCTGTTTTGAGTTCAGCTTGGAGAAGCTAAAGAAGAAAAACACAGGACGGGAAATGCAAAGGGGGATGAAATGAACATTTTTCAGGGGGTGGTTACAAGCCAGCCCCTGTGCCAGGCACAATGTACAATATCTCATTCAATCTTATTTACTTCTGTTTGAATTCCATCTCCTCTACTCAGCTTTGACCATAAACAAACTACTGGCTTTTCTAAGACTCCTCTTCCTTATCTGTAAATGATGATAAGAAGTCCTATTTCACAGGATGTTGTTGAGGGTCTTTGAGGAAAGCAGTGGAAAGACCGTGTGAACTTTAAGATCCTGGCAAACGTGAGCTCCTTTGCACTAACTTCTCTGGCACTTACAATCAACACCATCTGTTGGGCAGTGGCCATGCCCCATTTTTGTTAAATCAGAGATGTCTACCTATGGGACCAGGAGCTGCCTGTAACTTTCTATTTCTTCTGTTGGGGCATGTGTGCTGCCTGCCTAGAGCAGGTGGTCTACAGGTGCCTGTTGAGTCTGGGAGGCAGCTGAGGCCCCTCCTAATTTCTTCTTACCTTCATCAGTTCCTGCAGTTTGGGGTCGCTGCGGGAGTTGGGGTCCACCATTGTTCGCACTTCATTCTCCTCTTTAAAAGGAAAAGGCAGTCAGTGGGTGGCTCCACTTGGAGGCGTTAGGCTAACCCAGAGAACAAGAGACCCAGTTACCCAGCATGGTGTCCTCCGGGTCCAGCTCGAAGGGGATCGGGCTGAGGGGCAGGTTGATGGCATTCATGCCCTCCTCCTGAAGCTCTGATACTGCAAAGAGAAGAAAGGCAGAGTCACACGGCAGCCCAGTGATGACAGGGAGGGGCTCCGTAGCACATGGTGTTTGAGATTGACATTAATAAAACTACTGAGGTTAGGTTACACCTGTTACTCAGCCTGCAATGGATTCCCTGCCTCTCCTCGCTGGAAGGACTGAGTTGTCTCCTGCATGTCCCCTCTTCCAACTATCACCTCACTCGCTTTCCTCAGAGAAAGAGGGAGGCCTCTGCCTGTTCCCAGACACGATCTCAGGGTACACGGAAGTGAGGTGGTCACTGAGGTCTTTCTTGGGTCTCTGCCTGTCATCTCCTACCCACCCCTCCTTTAAGGGTTGGCTGTCTGGTGCACAGTGGCCGCCCGGTACCTGCTTGGCTAAACGAGGTCACCAGGTCAAGTCTACTTTTATGTTGTAAGCCATTTCCAGCCAACTTCTCTATTTGTTTGGCTTCCCTAACTACTTTTCTGATTATCCTGCCTTCTCTTTTTACCCCATCCCACCCCAGCCACTGCTTGAGAATGCCTCAGGCCACCCTCCTTTGGGCTCTCGTCTTGTCTCTTTAGCTCTAATGAGTAGGGGACCATGGGGCCAGGCACCTCTCCTCCTAGGTCCATTCCCTCCACTGAACATCAAGAGCTCAACTGGATGGATGGCCAGAGAGTCCGTTTACAGTTTTCAAGTCCTAGAAACCTACAATTCCACTTTCCTCAAGGAAAACAAAAAGAGGTCAATGACCGCTAAAGACTTCCAGCTTGCTCCCCTCCATGCACCCACCCCCCAAATGACGCCTTCGTGAAAAACAAATTCCTACCACAAAACTACTGCATGATGGACACTTGCTGAGCCATGACCTTGGATAACCCTCCCCCTAAAATGAGTGCCTTCAGTCTCCTCACCCCTGTTTAGTGCCAGTTTGGGTAATTCCTTTTTACCAATTAAGCACAGAAAGACCATTTTCTCTGAAAGCGTTGGTCACCAAAAGGCTCTCAAAGAGCTAATATGGCAGCTGCAATCAACCTTAATAAAAGCAATGTCCCATCTTTCCATTTTATTATTTTTTT